CCATGAATGTGTCCACACTCAGTCTACATGGTCAATGCTGCAACATGGATATGTGAGCCATAAATGTGTTTACACTCAGTCTACATGGTCAATGCTGCAACTTGGATATGTGAGCCATAAATGTGTTTACACTCAGTCTACATGGTCAATGCTGCAACTTGGATATGTGAGCCATAAATGTGTCCACACTCAGTCTACATGGTCAATGCTGCAACTTGGATATGTGAGCCATGAATGTGTCCACACTCAGTCTACATGGTCAATGCTGCAACTTGGATATGTGAGCCATAAATGTGTCCACACTCAGTCTACATGGTCAATGCTGCAACTTGGATATGTGAGCCATGAATGTGTCCACACTCAGTCTACATGGTCAATGCTGCAAACATGGATATGTGAGCCATGAATGAGTCCACACTCAGTCTACATGGTCAATGCTGCAACATGGATATGTGAGCCACAAATATGTCCACACTTGGTCTACATGGCCAATGCTGCAACATGGATATGTGAGCCACACATATGTCCACACTCAGTCTACATGGTCAATGCTGCAACTTGGATATGTGAGCCACGAATGTGTCCATACTTAGTCTACATGGTCAGTGCTGTAACATGGATATGTGAGCCATGAATGTGTACACTAAACTGTCCAGGAATCTAATACAACTAACAATCTTAACTAACAGATAAAAACGTTATTTCAATGGTTTGAGATTAATCTTGTGCCTATTCTATAAATGTTGGTTTAAGCTGCACCACAGACACGTCTAATGAAGAGATCTTTTTTGAGGTGCCTAGCTGGTCATGCATCTTGGTATGCTTGTCCTGCAGTGAGACACTAACATCACTTGGAGGTGACGGGTTCAATTACAAGCATGATAATTATAGCTTTCAATTTGTATGTTGCCTAGTGTGTTATTCTACCTTACCACTTCTTTCTATGAGTACCGGTCAATATATACCTATTGGTTTAATACCAGCATATTTGGCACACACAAAAACCAGGACCACAATTATAACCAAGGCTGTCTTGAGCAGGTTTAGCCTGATCGAATTTATCTGTACTTCTCAACCCCTTTCTTCCCTGTGCATTAAGGTTAGGATACAACCATAACACTCAAGCACGTAAAGCAATAAAACTGACCCAACGCTGTTAGGAACTAACATCACTATGAGACTGACCCTACGCTGTTAGGAACTAACTTCACTATGAATGCACTGTGCCGTGGTCTCTTTAAAAACATTTAAATTACTCACTTTAATTGAACATGAAATTTTGAACAAACATTAATATTAAAAATCTCTATCCAGTCATGAAAACACTGAAAAGTAGCATCATCTAGTTTCAATGCAACTCCTCAGCCACTCAATCCTCCTTACAGGATAAATAATATAATACAAATTTTTTCTCAGAAAATCAAGAACAATAAAAAATAAAATAAAATGAACAAAAAACGTAAATAAATATGTTCTTAATCTAATTAGCAGAAAATGAAAAAAAATAATCAATACAAAAATAAAAAGAGAAAGACGCAAATTGTGAATGAAACACAACATAGGTAATGAAGGCTGAACAAGGTTTTAACAGATCATGCAAAGTACAACACTGGTTGTTAGGCTCAGGTAACTGTGAATACATTGTGAGTTGTAGTGATCTAAGGGTGACCCCTACTGGATCACATTTAGAACTGGCAAAAACACACTGTGAGATTTAAATGAGATATGGCACTAACGTAATTAACCCTTTCGCCTCGAGATGCTAAAAGCCCACACTCCCCATACCCTGTAAATGTCACTTTTCTGACTTGTCTATGGTGATCTGATTACGAGTTGCTTAGTTAATGCTATTGGCCGTGTAACATTTAGGAGGTTAGGATTTTATTACATCAACTAACAATAGCATCCCCCCTCCCCCTGTGGGTTCCAGGGCCCCATTGTGGGGAAAACAAGAATAGACCTACTGCCTCCCCAAAAGGATGTCGTAAGAGTCGACTAATTCGGGAGCTTCCTTTAAAGTCGGAGTGCATCTGCCAGAGAGGCAAGGAACCAACAGTCTGTATTCAAGAGAATGAGATCTGTAAAACATGCACATACAACACTAAGGTTCTGGAGCAGGACTGCAGTTCAGTAGTGGACGACCAACCAGAACTTTCCGCCAGAGTGTACAGCTGGTGAACGCGAAGAAGAAGAAGAATAGCATTTTCTGAAAGGAAATGGGGGAATGGGGGAAAGGTTGGAGGGGGTAGCGGAACCGCCTTTTTAAAACCAAGCTAACATCAGAGATTACTGTAAAACTCATTTTCAGAGATCACAGGGTTACGACAGGATTAACTTAATACATGTTTTTTCGCCCTGGAGAGGTATTCCATGTAATGGTTTTGTTCACTGACTATTCCTTTCATGTATCATCCTTTGTCTCAAGAGAAAAAAATGAAACAAGCAGATAAATAAATTCTTCATATATTTATTAGCGACCTATGAAAAAACAAATTGTTTAATGGATACTTTGTGGGATTCTAATAAGGTCATGATTTTTTTTCTTTTCTTTTTGGCTTCTGCACAAAATGATTGAGGCATTATTTTAGTTTCCTGTAAAGTGTTTATCTATGGCTCCAACTGTGTACGTATAAAGTATGTATTAGTTTGGATATATAAGATGCAGGATTAAGACTGGTATCGATGAGCACGATCATCACCATCAAGTGCCTTACTGACAGGCTTGGGCAATCATGCCTCTCCCCCAACCGGTGCTCTCCAACAGCATATGTGCTGATACCCCTCCACAACCAAAAGCTGTAAACAATCTTCTAAACTGCTCTCAGTATCCTCTACTTCTAAATCTCAAAGTCTGCTTTTGCCAAATTCACCCATGCAAGTGGACACACGACACCAACTACACACATCAGATTTCCAATTTGTAAAAACATCAGAAATTTCCACCAAAAACATTCTCAATGCATTATTACCTTTTCTCCAGGTCTCGGAACCAAAGCCTGGAGCACAAGATACGAGTCAATGATCAATAAAATTCTCGGAGTTTTCTCACACCACAACACAGAGGCAGAATACAACAAAAAATGAAAGTCTAGAAGTGAATAATTAGAAAGACATGTAATTTCTTTTTTTTTTTTTTTTTTACAGTTTACTTTTTAAAAGATTTATATTGTATTCAAGAATAATTAAAATACAAATATGACTAGGTGGGGTAGACATTTACATTTCGTGGTTCACTCAAGTGGCTTCTAGGACCACATTCTGGGGGGAAAACAACAGACCTACTGTCACTTAACAAGCAATGCCATAAAAGGCAACAAATTGAGACTGCCAAAATCGGATGTGCTGGACCCAAAGGCAGATCCCACAGCCAAGCTGTAAACCCCAACACAACGAACCAGGTGCCCTTTTAAGGGAGAACAGAAAAACAAATTATAAGAAGAAAAAGAAGCCTTTTTTTTTTTAAATTATTTCATCCTTTTTTTTTTAAAACAAACTATATCACAGCCAGAATTTTCATCATTAATTCAGGAGAAATAATTCTCTTTTAATTCAGTGATTAAAATGACAAAATAAAAATAAGAGATAATTTGCTAAACAGAAGGGTAATTACAAAAATGAATGAACCAGAGAAGGCTACAGAAAGCTCAGAAGAAGAAAAACAAAAATCAGACAGAGCTTTATGTTTAATTCAAGGGGAATAATACACCTCTACACGCCATAAAGTTACATTTGTCTGTTCTGGAGCTAGCTCTCCATGGTGTCAGCTGCAGGCAACAAACGGCACAGCACAAACAAAACACATCAGAGAAGCATGACAGAGTAGGATTAAGAACCTCTTACGCCACAGCTAATACTATTCTATGTAAGGTTTATCTTCCCTATACATCAGGCTAAATTTGGATTATACACAACTAGAACTACCATCATTACACCCTCATAAGCACAGGAGTGCCGGTTGCAGAAGCTTGTGCTTCCGTTACACGTGTCCTAGTTAAAACTTCTTATAGGGGGCTGAGCAGGGTATTTAGTATATGCCCTGTTGGCTTGCCATCTAGGTTCAGATTTTGTAATCTCAGTGTGATCAGATGTTTCAAATAACAGAAGTGATATGTCTAGGACAACTACTCCGCCCCATTTTTCGCTCCCCGCCTGCGCGTTGGAGATATATAGGCTAGTAGCTGACCTAGTCAATTTCTGTACGAAGTTTTTTTCGAGTATCATTTATTTTGTACATTAGAGTCCTATGTAGTCACTTCATAGTTAGAGCATATTTGTGTATGTGTACTGTGTTGTATTGTATGTACTGATGAAGGCTAATCGCCGCAACGTCTTTTGTTTGTTTATTGTGATCGATTCTGTAAAGCTAACATAAACTATTTGTTGTTTCTTACCAACTTTTTCTCTTCCCTATAATGTTCTACTCCTTTTAAAAACTGAATGTAACCAGAAGAGACAGCATTACAAATGACAATGTTGGGATACCTATTTTCTTTTTGTTTTGTTTTTGTTCAGTGAATTCATTTATACCATCTTGATCTTCCCTCCTCGTTGAGTTACCTAGTCATTTTGTGTTTAGTGAATTCATTTATACTATCTCAACCTTCCCTCATCTAGTTAGCTATTGATTTTGTGTTCAGTGAATTCATTTATACTATCTCAACTTTCCCTCCTCGAGTTACCTATTCATTCTGTTTTCAGCTCGATTAAAATCTCCTGTTTTCATCACTCCAAGCAACAAATACCTAGTACTAAAAGAGTTAAACTGTAAAATGGTCTGAACTCAAATATCTGCTGTGCTTCATGATAAAGAATGTAACCATAACACAAAAATACTGAAAATAATACAGAGGAGGCAGAACATGCAACAGTCACAAAGGTTAGCCCTCTGAGAGTGGTGCCATCAAGAAAACAACTGCACAAGCTACATGTTTCAGGTGGGGGTGAGGACAGATATATCAAAGGTTATGTGTGAGCAAAAGAGGTATTATTACTTCACTGACCTTTGACCAGATCTGTCACTGAGCCAGCTCCACAGAACTCCATGACCAGCTGTAGATGGGACAGCAACAAGTTGTCAGTTACAAAGTTAAAGGACCCTTTATGCCCTAGTGGTGGATCAGGCATATGATGCTAGACATTTATTTCTTTACAGACCTACTAGCACTTGACGGGTGACGTGGTCAACATCACTCTGACCACCTTTACTTCCCAGGACACTATCTAGTACTCATTTTAAGCTGGGTCAACATGAATGACAAAATCATTCTAAAAAAATATCTACCATGAATTCTGACCTTCCGGCCAGCATCTAGCCACTACACCACCCCTGCTCCCTAGGAATTGAGTGACTGTACACTAAACATCATATACCAACATGTTTAAAGGCTAACTGGTCAGGAGCGTATCAATTTGTTCTCTTCTTCTTCACTTCCTCTTGTATCACTTTAGGTGTCAAGAGAGGTATAAGGTCCTGCTTCTTGCAGCCTTTATCAAAGACATATCATGCTGTTGCAAAGTTTCTCTGATGTTGTCTTTCTATCATGTTCTAGGCCTACCTTTGCTTCAGATCCCTTTTCCTGTTTAACGCAGGCTTTCAATGGCAGAGCCTTCTCTCTAGGTGGGTAAACCATTTATTGACTGCATGTAAAAACAGTTGCTTTTCTCTGTATGCCTTCCTTTTTTTAAGTCAAATGTTTCTATTGTAATTCTGTTATAACCTTGCGCGGTTCATTTAAAACCATAAACTACCTGTTGATTATTCAACCCAGAGGTTCTGAACATCTTCCAACTGCAATGGATATTACCAATCCTGTTCAGCCAAGTTTTTTCAAAGCATAAGACTTGGTTTTAATATGTTGCTGAATCTTAGTTTTGTGCAGTATTATAAACTTGCCGAGGACAATAAGCCCTACGCCACTAAACTCCAACACAAACGACATTCCAAATTTATGGGTATGAAAATCTTTTTCTCTTTCTATTCCTCCATCCCTCTTCACCACACATACACACACCACATATAAGCCACTATGGTGTAGTGGCTAGACATTCACCCACTGGGCCAAAAGTGTTAGGTTTGAATATTTTTTTTTTCAAAACTGACCTTGGCTGCCAGGTTGACCCAGCCTAAAAAGGTACAAGGTAATGTCTTGGGAAGTAAAAGTGGCCATATATTAAGTCCTGTCACATCATCAATTAACAGGTACTATACAGAATGTCCCTCTGGTCACGGGACGCCTGAATGTCTCTTTCTCTAGCCAATTCTCCAGCCCTATGTGCCTGCCTAGCCCATGCATCCTCAATATCCTGCATCCAAGTTCGCGGCGGTCTGCCCCTGCCACATTCTCTGGAAACTGTACCCTCCATCACCGTTCTCTCTAGGCCACCATGACATTTAACATGGCCAAAATACCCTCGGCTTTCAGGATCGGATGCTGTTTGTGAGCCAATTCTCATCGATGCTCAGTTCATATAGGATGTCTGTGTATTTTTTTTTCTCTTGCTCAATGGTATTCTAAGAATATTTCTGTAGCATTTCAGTTCAAAACCTCCTATTTTTTTCTTCAGTGATTGAGTAAGAGTTCGATTCACATCCATTAAGTTGCCAACAGGATATAAGTAGTATTTCTTAATCTGCCTTTTATTCTCCAATGGGGCACAGGCCCTTAACCAACTCAGGCCAAGTCATTCTATCCTTTCCTATGGTATGCAGCTCGCCCCATGTCCTCCCCATCTTCTGAACATCACTCTCTAGTTGCCTTCTCCATATACTGTTTAGCCTATAAAAAATTTAGGTCTAGCCCTATGTGCCCAATGCGGCAAAGGCACTAAAAGAGCTGTGTGTAAGCAAGTGCATAGATAGATGATGATGAAGACAATTATCTTGATAGAGGTGACTACCACTTACCCATAACTGATCATCCTTGCCAGCTGGGCTTTTCTTGATAAATGCTCCATAATAGGTGGCTATATTTCTGTGGTTGGAGAACTGCAAGAGACAACAGTCAACCACGTTTAATACAAACATGCTGATATGGTTAAATCTGCTCAAGTTGGGCTGCGTCTGTCTGGACTGGGGTGTATCAGAGTAAATTTTTTTTTTTTTTTTAGTATCCAGAAGCCATGAGTTGTTAACCCTTAGGCTCAGTATTATGGATATCACAACCCTTCGGCCTTGATTCCATGATAAATACCGTAAATCTGGAAGAAATGTGGCTTTTCTGCCTACGCCCGGGCGTGAACCCGGACCACATGGAGTTCGTCACCCGGTCACCATGCAATCCAGTTTGGCCAACTACACTAGCGAGCCGGGCATCAGAGTAAATAAGCTGCATAAAAGTAACTAACAGCAGCTGCAGCAGTGTAGTGGCTAGATGCTCGCATGCCAATTACATAAAAGTCTCAAGTTCAAATCTGTACAGATTTGTTCAAAACTGACACTGGCTTCCAGGTTGTCCCAGCCTAACCTGAGTACCAGGGAATCTGTCGGGAAGTAAAGGTGGCTGGCGGAATAGTGACCACATCACCCACCAAAGACAATGATCTATTAGAAATATGAGTCTGGCATTATATGCAAGATGCCGTCCTGGCGTAAAACTTATCATTTACTTTACTTTACTTAAATATTTGTAAAAGCTCTGGAATATTTGAGAAATGCCATCATGATCTCATAAACGACCTTTTCCCATGCCTTCAGCAGTATTGGGCACATAGTGTTGGACCTAGATTTTACAGACCAACTTTACTTCCCAGGACTTTACCTAGTACCAATTTCATGCAGCATCAATGTGGCAGTCGGTGTCATTTTCTAAAAGAAAAAAGAAAAACTCCGGCTCTGTTTGGATTTGAACAGATGAACTTCACATCAGCAGTCAAGCGTCTAGTCTCTAAACCAAGGTAGCTCCCCATGGTCTTATAACTCAAAGGGAAATCCTGACTGCAACTTAAAATTTTAGGGAGCATCATGAAATAGAAAACATAACTATAGCTACTTGATATCAACTGAGAGCAGTAGTTTGAAATATATATGTATATTTACATAAAAAGGAGGAGGAGAAGAAGAGGAGGTAGCAGCATAAGAAACAGAAGAACAAGATTATTTGGCTCTTTTCTTCGAGATTTCATGGGGAATTCCTGGGAAAGTCCACTACCGGTGGGTGGGGTGTGGGTTAGTGTTAGTCTATGTTCATTTCATATCCTAAAACCCCACCCCTATAATATTGAACTCTCCCAAGAAATCTCAAAGTTCCCGGAGAAAAAAATATAAGAACCAAAAAAATTTTGCAACTAAGCACACTGGGTGGACAGGTGCTCGGACTGCTAGAGAGTTCACAAATGACTCATGCGGCTGTGCAGGACGAAGGTAAACTACCATATTGCTCTCCGGAGTGGACAATTATAGTATATCAAAATATTAGAAGACAGTGCAGGAACATGAAACAATTTTAGCATCAATCTTTCAACAAGCCTAATTAATTAATTAAAAAATTGTATTCAGATAAATACACTGTGTCTGTAAAGTCATGGTGCACTTTTGACCGGTAACAGGCAATCAACAAAAGATAGAAATGTGAAATCTGCTTCAAATAAAATGAAAACTCTCCAAGTTTTGTAGTATGCTGTGCAAGCATGTGTGCACGTTTAAGCCAATGAACTCTTAGAAGAAAACGAGAGTACCCAACTATTTTGTTTTTTCAACTACAAGAGAGAAAAAGTCTAACCCGCTTAGCCTTTGCAGTTCCACCCCTCAATTTCTCAAAGTTATCTTTACCAGAAACTTCTCAGTTGAGTCAAGAATTGACTTCACAGCACTCGGGGCATTCCCATGTATGCTCAGTCCTCACCCCCAGCAGCCAGCGCAGAGTTCCAATACTGATGGTACCAGTCACGATCTGGTTATATATCCATCTTGCCTTTCCTCTAAGTGTAGTGAGCCAGCCAAACCGTCTGGTTACACATAGGTGCCGCATTCTCTCCAGGCCATAACAATCTTCTTTTTTACTGATTCTGTTGCTTGTTCGCAAAGGGGCCTTGGTCAAATCTGCCTTGTCAGAAACTTCTCATTCAGACTTGACTGTGTTATTTATATTATCATCATAGTCACATGACACTATGTGTCCGGTCACAGTTGTAGTTGACTGTCTGACCAGCACCCTCCTTGTGACCCTTTGAAAATAAAGTTCGTTCGTTCGTTAGTTCTGTGGGTCTGTTGCCATGGACTTGTCTGCATGTTTGAGGTTTGTCCATTCAGCCACACTCAGGTCTCTGTTGGTCTGCTTCTTTCCCTCTACAGAGCATTTTTTCAATAATTGTATCATGCATATGGACAAGAAGAGATAAAATTCATAATACGTCATGATCTTGAAACACAGGCTTCACTAATTTGAGTTGATCAGTCACAGTTATGATGTCTGGACATCTATGCAGAATGGGAGAGAATCGGCAGACCTCCAGGACAAGCTAGGGTTTGCTTCCATCAGACAACCTCTGACAGAGAGGTCTGGCACTCTCTCTGGCAAACCTCTACCCCCCAAGGCAGAAAAGGACTGATTAAGTAAAAGTAAAAACTAAGTGTATATAATACTGCTTACTTTTTTTAGTACATTTATTTCCAGTTTGATTTCCTCTTCTTCATCCTGAAATTAAAATAAACAAAGTATAAAACACAATAAAACTGAGAAGTTTATTATAACAAACAACTATGACATCAACAAATAACTATGACATCCATTTTAGGGAATGCATTTCACGATTTAATGAGTCCTCAACACTAGTGTACGATTCATAAGTGGTGTTTTGTTGGTGTTATTCAGGCAGTGATACAAGAGCTACACCGTGAAAGAGTTTGGATCTTCACCAGGTAATCTTCCCAAAGGGAGCAGTGGGCTGCAGCCACCCCCATTGTAAAGATGGAATCAGGAACTATCTGAGCATTAACTCATTACAGACTGTATGTCTACTATAATAGTATTCTAAGTATACTGTTGATATTAAATAGACTTTTTATAAGTAAAAGAAAAAGTAAAGGACCCTTTTCCACGCCTTTAGGCGTATAGGGCATATAAGGCTAGACCTATATTTTTATAGACCAACGGCACAAGATAGGTGATGTGGTCAGCATCACGCCGGCCGCCTCTACTTCCCGGGATTGCACCCGGTACCCACTCAAGGCTGGGTCGACCTGGGAGCCAAGGTCATTTTTGAAGAAAAGTCTGTCTCCGCCAGGGATAGACTTTTTATACTCAGTATAATTTATTTTTGGTATGTAAGTATACTTAGAATGTATTCCAGCCTGTGTAAATAAGGCTTAGTTTTTGTTGATGATGTTTATTAACTAATTATTAACCCTTTATAAATAAAATTTGTTCTTTCATTCATTCAATGGCATACCATTTGAAGAATACAATCACTAACAGCCGTAGGGATGGGGGTGGACAAGAACAGAGACCTGATTCCGTGATGCTGGTGATCGTGTGAGATGGTGAAACATGACAGCCAAAATGTATCGGCATGGTACAAGATGATGATGATGACAGCAAAGGACAGAAGACACAGCAGTGGCTAACTTTCCCAGAAGACACTTCTCTAACCTCCGTGACAGTCATGATGATGATGATGATGACAGCAAAGGACAGAAGACACAGCAGTGGCGAACTTTCCCAGAAGACACATCTCTTACCTCCGTGACAGTCATGATGAGGATGATGACAGAAGCAGACAGAAGACACAGCAGTGGCGAACTTTCCCAGAAGACACATCTCTTACCTCCGTGACAGTCATGATGATGATGATGACAGAAGCAGACAGAAGACACAGCAGTGGCGAACTTTCCCAGAAGACACTTCTCTTACCTCCGTGACAGTCATGATGATGATGATGACAGAAGCAGACAGAAGACACAGCAGTGGCGAACTTTACCAGAAGACACATCTCTTACCTCCGTGACAGTCATGACTTTGATGGCTGCCAATTGTCCAGTTTTTGTATGACGACCCTGAGAACAAAACAACAATTGTTTCACTTGAACAACAAAACATTTGGGATCAGGCACGCCCATAAAGACACAATATTGGCCCCGACTGCCTCAGAGACACCTACCCACCATCCCCTTAACCCTAACACGCCCAGAATATTTCACTTTCAAAACAAACTGGGGGATTTCCTTTGGGGCGAATTTTTAAAAAAAAGTACTTGTAGTCCTAGAAAAAGAAAAACCATGAGCATATATATATATATATATATATAAAGCAGGGCCATTCAACTGGTAATCCGCCGGCCAAATGTGGCCCGCAGATGCCTAGCAAGTACCCGGCGGATCACCTGCCAGCTGTACTGTGTGAGGGATCTTACTATGCTGGGCTGGGCTTACTGGCCAACGACGATCAACTAGCTGAATTCTCGAGAGTATCGACTTCATTGCACCAGGCGTTATCCTGTATGGCTGGGTATCTCTCTGCAGTACGACTAGCCGCCTGCCGAGAGCATCGCATAGTGCACGAACTCCGTAGCGCCGGTGACTATCCCCAGGGATCCCCGTAAACACTGCACTTGTGAACATGAACGACGCAGCCGTGAAACGAACCCAAGACATTCAGAGCGCGAGGAAAAGGGATTGACCACTTTACCACGGAGAATAAAGGCCCAGAATGCTTGGGTGCGTAGAGATTGGTCATTGACCGCTGTTTGTTTACTTATGCACGTCATTACCATCCAAGACTCCAAACAGAATGGCGCGGCGTGTGCAAGCCCTCATTACACAAATGCAACGCATAGACAAATGTTGAAATGGGGTAGGATCTTGGTCCTCTTTTTGTCTACGATCCAGGTCACAGAGTCCTGGCATGCCCACTCGCAAATAACACCACTAAACGGTTGGGGGGGGGGGGGTGTTCGTTACTTGTTTAAGCTGCAGACCATATAAGTACATAAAAAAAGGTTAGTTGTGTATCTTTTACTGCACGACGCACAACCAACCTCATCATGGGAAAAGGGGGGGGGGTGCTGATGTGGTTTTTCTAAGCAAATTTTACGTTCAGTAGTTTGCCACTGCTGAATGCACGGTCGGATCTCGGTACCACTGTCGAAGCCAACGCAAGACAAGCCGTCCGCAGCTGGGAACGAACCCGGCATCCCGGCATTACTAAGCGTGTTCGCAATGCCTCAGCCACACAGACGCCGACATAGGCAACCCAAGGATCCTTCGTGTGCCCATCGAGAATATGACGCTAGAAACAGCTGCCGGCTTCCTACCAAGAAGTTTTACTGGAGATGAAACCTGGGTTTACTACCAAGAGCCGGAAACGAAGATAGCGAGCCTATACCAACCACTTTATTGGTAAAATAATCATCATGGTGTAGCAGGTCCTTTGCAGAACGTCGCTCTCATCACAGTCTGCCTGAAAGAAACCCGGTCTCTCGCCAGTTCTCCCGCCTCATGAACTTTCACACTCAAGGAGTCACTTTTATCCTGTGCCCATCTTCGTGCCAGTCGGCCCCTGCCCCTCCTTCCTGGTACCATGCCTTCTGCTATAATTTTTTCCAATCCGTCGTGGCGCTTGATATGACCAAAATATTTCAGCTTCCGAGACAGGATGCTGTTTATTAGCCAATCTTCTTTGATGTTAGGATCTTTAAAGATGTCAATATTTCTCATCTTCTTTGTCCAAGATATTCTGAGAATCTTTCTATAGCATTTCAGCTCAAAAGCCCCTATTCTCTTTCTTAAGGACTGGGATAAAATAAACGGATAACAGAACGATGCTCCCCCTCTTTGGTGCATGTCAAAAGGGTCACTGTCATTTTGGCGTCATCGTGTTCCGTCTGCAGCGTGATTACACGTGCTTAACAATTTTTACATCCTTAACATCAATACTGACAGGTTACAAGACAATGACATCATTACAAATTGTAAATTCTATAAATTTTAAGGTTCTCATTGAGGCCCCATCGTATAAGTAAATACGAACAAATAATATTATTCATATTAGTGGGTTTTTTTTATGTACATTTATAAATAAATGTAGACTTTTTTATACTTAAAGGAAGATTTTTACACATGTAAAAATCAGATACCGCTGAAAATAAGCACTCATGTGTCTTTTGAAGCAAACATCAATATAAGACCGGGCTTTATTTTCAGTGAAACATGGTAGGTTGCGAAAGACGCCAACATCAAGCGCAGCACGTTACATGCAATCCTTGTTCTGTGCTTAAACGTCAACAAGTCGGGCAAGAGTCAAAGCAGAAGGTGAAATCAACGGTGACTATAGAACCGAAACGTCAACATTTCTGATCAATGTAGTAGTATTAGCAGAAGCAGTAGTAGTAGCAGCAGCAGAAGTAGTAGTAGTAGTAGTAGTAGTAGTAGTAGTAGTAGTAGTAGTAGTAGTAGTAGTAGTAGTAGTAGTAGTAGTAGTAGTAGTAGTAGTAGTAATAGTAGTAGTAGTAGTAGTGATTGTAGCGGCAGTAGTATTAGTAGGAGCAGCAGCAGTAGTAGTAGCAGCAGAAGTAGTAGTAGTAGTAGTAGTAGTAGTAGTAGTAGTAGTAGTAGTAGTAGTAGTAGTAGTAGTAGTAGTAATAGTAGTAGTAGTAGTAGTGATTGTAGCGGCAGTAGTATTAGTAGGAGCAGCAGCAGTAGTAGTAGCAGCAGCAGCAGTAGTAGTCGCAGCGGCAGAAGTAGTGGTAATGATGATAGTGGCGGTAACAGCAGTAGTGGTAGTTCTTTTTCTTCTTTCGTTCGCATGAAATAAATTATCTATATCTGCAATGCTGTAAGTCGTCAGTAGTGGTAGTGTTTGTGATGGCAGTAGCAGAAGTAGTTTTTGATAGCAGCTGTGGAACCCACTAAAACAATTGTGGAAGTGGGAGAGACAAACGAATAGAGAAAGAATTTCACAGTGGAATCACTACCAAAATGTAAAGACAGTGCAATCCAAAAGACAACGTCCAGAATGGACTGGTAAGATGACACCTGCAAGGAGATGCACCCAATCAATCAATCAATCAATCAATCAATCAATCAATCTCTCTCTCTCTCTCTCTCTCTCTCTCTCTCTCACACACACCTGCGATCTCCTCCGCACTATCGTCTGGTTCAGAAACACTAGCAGGGCTCTTCAAACGGTGTTTCGCGGGAAAAGCCCAGGGGCCCACCGAAATCTCTGCCTAATCATGTGACGGGTAAGGGTAGGTAGTTTTTCCTCTTTCAGGATCGCAGTTTCGAGGATTAAGAGTGATAATAAACCGATATCGTATTCGCTGAAAATTGTAATTTTGTGGCATCGGATTTAATTAATTAACTGCTTTTTTACATTTGTTTGTGTCTCTCTGTTTGGTTAGCTGTGGGAGGACCGCGAAACAAATTTTCTGGTTTGGTGGGTCGTGGGTGCAAAAAGTTGAAGAACCCTGCTTGAACTAGCACATCTGTGTTGTCGAAGAAAGTGTTAGGCTCCCCTCGAATGCGAACCTAATGAACCTGCCCGTGGCTGTTTAAGTGGCTTCAGCCCGGTCTGCCTGGAAGATTACCACCAGATTGCCTCGAACGTTTCTATCTCCACCACCAGGCGGTCAATCGGTGAAGTCAACGACCTGCGGCGAGGTGGTTCGGCGTGAAAGATTCTTGTCCGATTAAACGACTGAAGCCGGACAACGCAACTGGTGAAGATTCAATTACACTGCTTGGTTTACCCGTGTGGGTTCTGTCTGGGATAGGGGAGATATTACCACCCTAACAAGCATGTCGTAAAAGGTGACTAATTAGGGATTTGCTGAAATCGGATGTGTTGGGTCGGAAGGCTCAGATACTGCAGTCTAGTTGTAAATCACAATGTTGAATTAAGAATCGACATCACAGCACTCGGGACATCACAGTGCTCAGTCCCCATCTTCAGCAGCAAGCGAAGAGTTCAAATTCCGATGGTACCAGTAACCGTTAAATTGCATATCCGTCTCATCCTTACCCTGGGTGTTGAGCGTCAGCCAGATCCCCTAGTAACCACGCGCAACGCCATTCTCCTCAGACCGTAATGATCTATCTGCGCCTCCACACTGTTCACTCGCTCCCAAAAGGCCCTCACAATATCCAACTTGTCGTACATTAATTCATCACCAAGTGGTGCAGAGCCAGCCAGTCTATCTAACTGCTCATTTCCCAACACACCTTGATGACCTGGAGAAAAATCACAATACAACGTGCTAACCGTCTCTTTAAAGGCGAAGAAGAACAGAAAGACTGCTCGAATCGCTGGTAGCGAAATTTCTGCAACACTTTGGAACGCCTTGATTCACCAAACCATTACACACAGCACTGAGTAAGATGATTAAATAAATCCATTCGTGCATCGTTAAGTAACAGCGATTAGATACTAAGGCCTTATTGTCTCCACTGACAGGGTAGTCGGTAACATGTCAAGACAACATGAACTTCCAGGAAGGGAACCACAGTGTTATCTGATGGACTTCACCTACGTTGGGGTTACGCCATTAGAAGATGGAAGTAAAAATCACAAAACTGCTGCTACAACACAGGATTTAACACTGGAGCACTCTGTTGGTAATCTAGCGAATTTAACCATCATCTCATTCGATTTTCATATCTGTGTGCAAATATTTCAAAGTAAATCATCGTGTCCTCTTTCCAGAAATCACTGTTCCATTGAGCTTTAGGAAGGTACTGTAGTCACAACAGACAGTGACAGCAAGTGTGACTAGACATTTTTAAAAAAAGGTGACATACTGATACACTACATTTTCCTCGTGTGTGTTCCGAAGTCCCATTAGAGTGAAACAAGAATATATCAACTGCCTCCCCAGCATGTCGTAGGAGCTGACTGACTGGGGACATCCTTCGAAGTCGGAGTACCTCTGTCGAAGAGGCAAGGAACCGACAGTCTGCATACAAATCAGCCAGATATGTCAAAAGTGTGTACATGCAAAACACATGTTCTGGAATAAGATTAAAGTCGGAGGTGGACGAACAACCAGAATTTTCCGCCT